AGCCCGCCGTGAAGACGACGACGAGTTCGGAGAGGAGGAAAGTGATGAAGAGGAACAGAGCGGTCGAGAGGACACCCCCACGCCACGCGCCCAGACCCGTGCTCAAGCTGCCCGCACCAAACCCCCCGCCCCCGCCGCCGCACGCGCGCCGCGCGCCACAGCACGTGGTCGCGGCCGAGGATCGCAAGCCGCGGTGACGCAAGACGGTATACCGAAGTGGGCGGCAGAGGCACGCGAGACATTGCGCACTGGCGGCGGCGGGGAGAAGTGGGAGAAGGTGGTGGAGCTCTGGTGGACACGCGAGACGGCGGCGGCTTTTGGCGGGCCGCCAAAAGGTGCAAAGCCAAATCTGCGGCCGAAGGAGGTGAAGGGTTGGGTCGCGCGCGCGCGGACGGGAGGCCCTAGTCCGGCGATTGTCGACGTGTACAGTTTCGCGGCCGACTGGTGGAAGTGGTGGGTTGCGATAAACCCGTCCTGGCGTCAACTCGAGGGCGGGAGACATTTGAAGAAGGAGGGAGAGGGCGACTGGGGGTCGGCCGCGCATACAGGCCCCAATGGCATGCTGAATGTACTGGTCTGCTTGCGTTGGTGGAGAGATGTCTTGAGGGGTGAATTTGGGGACTGGGAGGAGGCGCTGGCCGACGTCGAGTGGGTCTTGAATGAGGTGATGTATGTAAGACTTTTCATCAAGAGTCCATGTGCTGATGATCCACGCTAGACGAACGGAAGCGCAAGCCGCGGAGGGATCGGGCGGGGATTGATGCGCCTCGCGGCGGCGCCATGGACATCCGCGCAGCGCTTCGCAGCGCGCAATGGGGCGGGGTAGAGCACGTATCTTGTAGTATTTTTTCTTGAATGAGTGCAGAGGAGGGGACGAGAAGTACCCTATTAAATGATTTTTGGTATGTTTTGATCGCCAATCAGAATAATCACCGGATCCGTGAATATCGGACGACGACGGCCGGCTTCACACAATCAATTTGATTATTTTAAACGGCCGCCGGACCTGCCGAAAAGCCCATCAGAGCCCGCCAGCACGCCCCGGAAAAAAAATAAAATGGCCAGTACATTTTGCAAAAGGCCCTGTGGGTCCCCCCAGTCCACTTTGTAAAATAGTAACTAAATGAGCTGAATAGCGATACGTGTCGAGTGGGCGCGCGCGCGAGCGCGGAAGGATAGGTGGACGGAGGAGGTAATGTTATTGCGAGAGGAGATGCGCCGGGTCTTGAGGTACCTGGACTGGCAGGTACGATGGTGGCGGGATCGGGCGGCGTTACGGACAGACTGGTCTGCCGCTGTCGGGGCGGGTGCGCATGCCTACGCGATGAAGCAGGCCTCATGGCATGAGCGACTCGCAGGGCATTTCCAGACGAAGTGGGGTATCCCGGCGGTGGCGGCTGCGCGGCACATCTTGGCGTTGGACAGCGTGGAACTTGATGACTTCTTTGGAGAGGATTAGATTAGATAGGTTTCACCAAATGTGATGCGCCCTCTGCCTTCCGCCGAAAACAGTTCCAAAGACAATCAGGAGTCACGATCTCTTGCCAGAAAGATTAGATTCGTTAGAGCAAGATTAGATTGTCAGTGATATCTATTGCACTCCCAGCAAAAAGTCGTTTTCACCCGAATCAGGCCAAAATCCCCAATGATGTCGGTGCCATTTGATCGCCACATAATATAATTAATTTTGTACACTGATGCGCTACGGAAGCAGCCGAAACCCTCTGCTAACATGGGTGCCGGCCCCTGTAACACTGGTGCCTATAGGTCTTCAGGCACGGTGCTAGCCAAGCGTTGGCTAGCGCCGTGGCATTAGAAACCGTTTCCTATGGCTAGGTCCAAGACATGAGACTAAATGGTAGGGCTATGGGTGCATGATTTACCCCAGGGGCCAGGGCAGTAGGGTACGAGTAATAGCACAAGCAAAAATTCACCCCGTGGTATCTGCCAAAGGCACGGGCTCGATTCGATCGAGCTCCTCACGCGTAAGAATACGCTCCCTACCATTCCCAACACACGGGAGCGTGGATCATCCACCACCGAACCGATATGCTCCTTATTTTGTTCTTGAAAGTGGGATAGATCTTTGTACACCGGGTTGAGAGCCGAACACTGAGAGAAGCCCGATCTTAATAGGGCCGGAATCGATTCTAAAATGGATGAACACACCGTAGTCGTATAGGGTTGTTTCGCCGTGCTGGCCCCGGCGTTGGCTGGGTAAGAACACCAAAAAGAGTGTAGTCATGGTGTATCTGGGAATGGCTCGGGCTCGAATCGAACGAGCAACGCTCGCAGAATTATTTTCAAGCCCAGGAATAAATTTGTACGAGGGTGGACCATCCACCACCGAGCCGATATGTCGTTTGGTTCGCCTTTCAATATATTAGTGGACAAGTTCGACCGCTGGCTTGAGGTTTCCCGGCCCCGAGCTGCACCGGCTGCAAATTAACTGGTTGCACGGGTATAAGGTCCAGGGCCCCGGAGATGAGAAGGGAGGAAAATTCATGATTCGCGTGTTGCACATGGCCCGAGCGCGAATCGAACGCGCTGCTCTCGCATAATCTATCTCATCACAACCAACGAAACTCGTCAACGAGAGGTGAATTTGTGTCCGGGGATGCGAGCTGCTCTGGCTCCAAATTGACGGTTTGCAGACAAAAAGGGAGTAAAAAAAAATGCGTACCTTGAAGGCTATATGGCTCGGGCGCGAATCGAATGCCAACTCTCTCTCTCTCTGAATCGAAAGTATTCTCGTGGAATCATACCGCGTGAACCGTCCACCACCGAGCCGATATGTCGTTTTGTTTGGTTCTTGAACATAGTAAAGACGTTCGTGAGTTAAAAGCCAGAGATGCGATTCAAGACGTAATCAAAAAGCACGAACTCACAGAGGAAAAACGACTTCAACGGCCTTATGGCTCGGGCGCGAATCGAACGCAAGGCTCTCGCATAGTCTACCACGTGCGGTACACATAGCTTACGACGCACCACCGAGCCCATATGTTGCTTGTTTTGCCTTCAAAAAGTAAAGAAAGTCAAGCGCTGATTTGAGCTACGTACGCACCTACGAGCTGCTCTGGCTTCAACTTGACTGTTCGAACCGGAATGAAGGCCTAACAACAAAAAACGGGAAACTTCTGCGTATGGCTCAGGCGCGAATCGAACGCGCGGCTCTCGCAGAATCTACCACGTGGGGTACACATAGCATACGAGCGTGGACCATCCACCACCAAGCCGATACACACTGTGCTTTCTTCTCAAAGATGGCAGAGATATTTCCTTCTGCGCTGCATATGAGCCGGGATTGGTTTGCAAATTCATGAACGCACCGCAGTCGCATCGAGTTGGTGCCCCGTTTTGACGCAGGGTCAAATCCCATAGCCGAACAAAAACAGCGTACTCGTGGTACTCGTCGTATGGCTCGGGCGCGAATCGAACGCGCGGCTCTCGCAGAAATCTTGCCCCGTGTCCATAGCATACGAATATGGACCACCCACCACCGAGCCGATGTGCACTTTCCTTGATTCTTCAATTGGAATATGGTGTAGACGTTTGCCCGCTGCGTTGAATCGAACGCCACGAAGACTCATCAACAGGAGACATGCCCCGGGGATGGAGTCATACATATCCGCCTGCGAGCTGCTCTGTGGCCGAATTGACGGTTTACAAACAAAAGGGAGAAGAAATATGCGTAGCTAAGGCGATATGGCTCGGGCGCGAATCGAACGCCAACTCTCTCTCTCTGAATCGAAAGTATTCTTGTGGAACTAGACCAGCGGGAACCGTCCACCACCGAGCCGATATGACGTGGGTTTGGTTCTTGAATATAGTAAAGACGTTCGTCAGTTGAAAGCCAAGAAAACGCAACAAGAGATGCAATCCCGGAATCAAAAAGCACGAACTCACATAGGAAAAAAGCTTCACACCGCTCTATGGCTCGGGCGCGAATCGAACGCGCGCCTCTCACAGAATCTACCACGTTCAGTATGTATAGCATACGAGCGTGGACCACCCACCACCGAGCCGATATACACTTTGTTTTGTACTTCAATGCAGTAGAGACGTTTTAGCACTGCGCTGAGTTGAGGGTCAGGAAAATCTGTCAACAATGAATATGAGCCGGGATTGGTTCGAGAATTCATGAACACACCGTAGTCCTATCGAGTTGTTGCCCTTTCTGGCTGGTGTTGGCTTACTAAAAACAACAAAAAGAGGGAACCGGTGGTTTCATGGCCCGGGCCCGAATCGAACGGGCAACGCTCGCAGAGTTTTCTTCAGAAAGTAAAGATGAAAGCTGTACGAGGGTGGACCATCCACCACCGAGCCTGTACGGTCCATGCTTTGTCCAAGGGTCTAGGGACTGAATCTGACCGTAAGATACGGGTCATGCAAAATGTCAGAGAAATTTCTTCGGTTACTTGATAAGAGGGATCCTGCGATCGCTTGGAGGGAAGAGTTCGGACGATGAGAAAAAAATAAGAAAAACATCAAATACATTGTAACCTGAGTGAAGAGCATGGACATACCCATGGAAGTACCAACTACGAGACAGCGATCTCCGACGAGGACCGGATTCTCGCGGATGCGAGGTGGAAATCTGTCACAAAACGCTTACGGTTGTATCGTCGATCCTGCTCTGAAACCCAGTCTATCAGTGTGTCGACACGAGTCGCAGCGGTTCTCGCGCCCCCAGACCGAGGTCACGCCACCGAATAGGCGACCAACGGAGATTGGCAGGGAAATCATTCTGTTAAAATCCGTAGCGGTAATGGTGCCTAGGCGATAGGAGAGCAGGGAACGGTTCCCTGGGTCGACGGGAGGGTCGCGTCGTCAAGCTTTTCTCCTAGTTGCGCATCGTTGTGGGGCGATGAGGGCGCAGAGAATAAGGTATTGCGCCGCGGGCGCCGCTCAGTCGATGAGGGGCATTGTCGTTCTCCGCTGCTTTTAGCGCCGTATGGAGATGCGGGTGCAGAGGGCAGATCATCGCGCCGGGGACGCCCTTGCGGACGGCGGGGAGCCGCCTCGGATCTTCCAAGTGGTAGTTACTATTGCTGGCATCACTGCCGCATGCCTGAGACTGTTTGGCACAGATTCCGCCCCGATTCTTGCTGGAAGAGTACAGGCTGCGCATAGATAGCCCAGGACAAATTCCAGAAAGCTTCGGCGCTGTGCTTGCCAGAGAATACAGAAATGAACCCGAACGATGTGAGGGTTTGGGGAAAAAAAAGGAATGCCGGTGTCGGCAGTCATGACAAATCATCCCAAAGAACGCGACACCGCCACTGCTCTTCTTTCAACCTGCGCCTCCCCAGCGCCTCCCAAGCGTCTCGACAATGTTATAGATCGTGCTCGGTATACATTGGTGGACCTGGATCCGCCAGGAAATCTGAAAGGAAGGAGCTCAGTCAGTCCTTCCTCGCAAAAACAAACGACAGCGCCTTTGCAGCACTCATGGCTCCAGCCCGAAACGAACGAGCGCCACAGAACAGATTGACGAATCCATGGACAACGGTAAACGCAAAGCATTCACAAACGAGCGGGTATCTAGTGTGTGTGAGTTTATTACTTGAGCTAAGTACCTTAGTCCTGGGGGGTGGAGGAGGGACGCGTCATTTCAAGTTGAATTTTCAACCACCGAGGAAAGTTCTGGTTGATTGAACTGTTGGAAAATCGAATGAAAATCGATCGACAATCTATGAACCATATGCGGGGAAATTGTCCACCCCGGAGCCGTTGTGTACCGCGTTTCGTTGTTAAATTCGGGAGGAAGTGGGACTCAGGGAACACGGGTTGAATCGTTGTTTCCAAAAAGAAAAAAAGTGGTATTGTCCTCATCTATTATGGCTCGGACCCGAGTCAAACAGGCCCATCTCACGCAAATTTAAATGACAGAACTCTGGGCAAACGTGAGCCGCCCACCACCAAGCCGACGGTTAGTGGGTGCCGTTCATATAGTAAACGAAACGAAACGAGACTCGAAAAAGCAAGGTGAAAAAGGAGAGTGCGTTCGATTCGTCTAAAGCTCGAGCCCAAATTGAACAGGGTATGCGTGGGGGCGGAAATGCCAGGAAGTGCCTGAACCATATGCAAGCGTTCCCCACCGAGCCGGTTACATCTACGGTGGTATTCTCTGTTGAATGCATCAACAATTTGGAAGGGTCAGCTCGAGTTGTTCAGCCGCAGGTAAGATACTCGTTTCGTACCGGTGAAGCAGGTGAAGCCCTCATGTCTTCAAAAGTCAAAGCAATTGAGCCAAGGAAGTACCGAGAGCGGAATCCAATGCTACGAAGGCTGCCGAACTGGCAAGGACGAAAATCGTTTTGTATTCACCTCAACTCGTGTTGGCCCGTTGAAAGTTGCAACTTATACATACTGGACGTGGACCAATCGCAAATTAAAAGCCTCTAAGCAGAATCGCAAGTGATAAAGGAAGCCTCTGGCCTCCACAAAAATGCTCTGAGAAAAATAAATCACTTCAACGACCTCAACCCCCTCGCGACAGCCTCCATCTCGCGATTCCACTCCCCGCTCCACTCCTTCTCCTTCCGCCGCTTCCCGCTCTGCAAGTCAAGCCGCACCGCCGTCAGAATCTGCACCCCCGCCGCCATCTCGTGCGCGTCCTTCTCGAGAGCCTCCGAGGCGAGCGACTCTGAGCCACCGCGGCGGTGCATTTTGTGTCTGTGGGCATGGAGCGCGAGGGGCGCGCGCGTGGCGGTGGAGAAGGAGCGTTTAATCGTGGTGCCTTTGCCGGCGCGCGGGGGCGAAGTGCGCCCAAGCGCGGGCAGCGACACCGTCGCCGCGTCCGCCCCCTCGGTGGGAGTAGGCGAAAACAGGGAAAGAACAGTTGGACGCTCGCGTTCTGCGCGCACGGACCGGCCGGTGCTCGCGGCGCGGAGGAGTGCGGGGCGCGCGAGCCCGGGGGCCAGTGTATTGGTGCTCGCGGCGCGCAGCAGCGAGGGGCGCAGTGCGGGCTCGGAGACGAGTTCAGGGGCGATGTTCTCGCCGAGCGTGCGGGCGAGTTTCGCGGCGTGGCGCCGGCGGAGGTCTTTTGTGCTCGGGCCCAACTCGCGCGAGGGCGTGGAGGATGCGGTGTTGGTGGTGGGGGAGAGCGGCGTGCAGGGCGTGCTGGGGGAAGGAAGGGAAAGAGACGAGGAGAAGGAGAGCGTGTGTTTGTGCGTCAGAGCGGCGGCGGAGGGCGGCTCGAGGTGGAGGAAGAGGCGCGGGCGGGCGGGGTCAGATGCGTCTGTAGGTGCCATGTGCCGGCGCGCAGTGAACGAAGATGGAGGTGCGGTGAGAGAAGATGGATGTACAATGGGAGAAGGTGAAGGAGGGACAGGAGAGGGGTCGCGCTCGCGCTCTGTGGAGGCCGGTGCGTGGGCCGGCCCAAGACGGCTTTGGGAGACTGCGGCCTCGATAACTTGCGGCGTCTCGCCAAGAAGAGCCTGGAGCTTTCGATTCGAGCGCACCAGGCGACTGCGTTCAGCTCTTGAGAGGGCGTTGTGGGTCTGGGGCAGGGAAGACATGGTAGAAACAAACACGGGATGCGAGTGAACGGGGGACATTTAATATGGCTCCGGCGGCAATCGGAAACGGAAACGGACGTCGCAAACAGGGGTCCACGTCAAGCTCTCCACTGTTCTCTCTAGGGTTCGTTGTGACTTCCGTCCCCATTTGGGTGATGTCACTAAGGCTCCAACCATTTCCGTTTACAAACAGTTTTAAACGGTTTTAACCGTTTCCATTTCCATTTAATTTGACCGGGGTGGAAAACAGTTTATAAACCATTTCAAACGGTTCAAATGGTTGCCTGCCGGGGCACCACTTACCGAGCAAATCTGGAGGGTTCTTGGGGGCGGGATTGGACGTGAGTGTCATCGTCACTATAACTGAGGGATGGCGAATAAATTCAACTTTAAAGAGTTGAGGGGGATGTGCCACGGACCCGATGGAAGTCACCTCAGCCCCATAATTTCATGCCGCGTGAAGCCACTGATTATACTCTTCAGCGCAAGAGCCTGATTTATGTTGTCCTCACCTCAAGCATGGCAGTTAAATATCTTTCCCGCGATCCTACTCCCCATGCCTGTCACGGTCAAGCGACGTTGCCCAAGTGCGTGTGCGGACTTTGCGGTGAGTGTTGTTTCTGTTCAACCGGTACCCGAAGATGGTTATACATAAAACAATCACCAGGATGTGGGCCGACAATAAGCTGCACAAGACAAGGTTGCTGTCTTGC